ATCTGTTGAAAATAACATTTCTTTAGAAGTAGAGTTATTATTCGTGTACACTATACCTTTAATTCCTTGTCGTCCAGGCCAGCCATTCAGTCCATTATCTCCACCTAAAATAATAATTTATACATTTTATAAAATTCAGAACAAATAACTCAATTTGATTAAGTTCTAAACGTAGTCAAGTTTAGTGCATATTTATCTAATTGATTGAAAACCTGTTTTATAATTGCTAGATGAAAAATTTGATCGTGTTCTGACCTACAATATTAATGTAAACTTACGTTCTCCATTTCTTCCGGGTAGACCGGGAGCTCCAGCAGTTCCTGGACGACCCTATTAAAGTTGAAGAAGAGAAAGTTTTTAAATTGATTTTTTTTTTTTTTTCTAATTAAACATACCACATCACCGACAAGACCACGAAAACCATTTGGACCAGGCAATCCTGGTGCACCGCTATTTCCAGGCGCTGAAAATTAAGAATACGCTTGAATTCAATATTTTCAACAGATGATTATACAACAACAAACTTACCTCCACGACGACCGGGTACTCCAGGTAATCCAATCGCTCCCCATGAACCAGGATGTGTTCCACCTTAGATTTAAGAAATATATTTAGTTTGACAATTGGACATAGAAAAATTCTTATTTTATTTTCTGCTAAATGATTGTGTATTCAGATCGAAATACAACGGTCTACTTACCAGTTTCTCCTTTTTGTCCTCTACCTCCGGCTGGTCCAGGGAGTCCATTTGAACCTATGTAAAAAAAAATCGTATATTAGTTAAGTAGTTCATACGTCTTCATTAGCAGCATTATACAAAACAGTCTAAAAGTACTGAATATTAAATATATAGCTGAGTTACAAATTTATAAGAACGTTTTGATTAGTACTCAAGTTAAAAATTGAATCTCCAAGTCTACTGCAGCTTTTCATTTTTCATCTTTAAAGAATAATATTCTTTAATTTTCATTTCAATTTATTCTTTTATTCCCTACTACTACTGTTCTACTGATAAAAAGTTTTTCTATCTCCTTTCGAACACATGTCTGTTGAATGGCAACTTATATCCACCTATGTTACTCTCATCGTCTTTAATCGTTCATTAAGATACGTGTAAAAAACTTAATTATTATTCTTTTATCCTTTCGTTTTGAGAGAAAAGAAACAAAATTGAATTAACATTATCTCTTGTTCAATGGACAAAAGTTCGACTTTACTAATCATATATCATATGTTACATATGCAATATACGAAACATGAAAAACGTGTGTACGCTTTATCATATATGATTGCTATCAACATTTTCATTGCTTTCATAAAACGCAGTAGTGTATTACACATGCAAATCTTCTTGTGTAAGACAACACTGTAGCTTTACAAACGAAAGAGTTATTGGAATGCCTTCCGTGAAACTAAAGTGATTTTTTTGTTCAGCCTAGTTGAGTTTCTCATATCTAATGATAAATCAACTATAGAACTTATATTTATATAATTAGATTAGATAATTACAGTATTATCTGAAGTTGTGCATCAAGCATAAAAATGAACTATATGTTCAAAACTAAAAGATAAGATATATTAGAAGAAAGCAAGAGATGTACTTTATTACAGAAATAATAAAGTATTCTATTGCGCATATGTTGAGTCATACCGACTTTTTTGGCGAGAAAGATAGGTTTTTTGTATAAGAATCAAAAAAATTGAGATATAAAAGAATAGATTAGGAAATTGGATCAATCTGTCATCATCGAATCAATCTGATGAGGCTTCGTAGTTTAGCATAGACTTTTCTCTTTACGTAGGTATATTACATATCAGTGGATAATACATAATCCCAGCAACAATAAATTCTTTCATGTAATACTCAAAAAAAACAACACTCGATGAAATGAATTGAAAAATATATTAGACGAACATTAGTATGATGGACTTTTGCAAAAGTAAAAATATAATTCTAATGCAATATTACCTCTATCTCCACTTTGTCCAGGAAGTCCCGGCACTCCTCCTAAAATAATAACAATCAAATTATTTAGAAGCTAAAAGCTTAGAAGAAATGTGATGATGATATTATAACCATAACAAATCTGTTCTAATGATAATCTATTCTATTATTTGCATTTAAAAGTTTTAAATATTATCATTTTTCTAAGTTAGAAATTTCGTTGTTACCAAAACTCTTTTGACTGATTTTCCAATATATATATATATATATATACATGGAAATTGTGTCCATCACTTACTCTGTCCCGGTAAACCTGGATAACCTGAATCGCCAACGGCTCCTCTTGGACCAGGTGGTCCAGGCGGTCCAGTTCTTGTTGCCACGGCCATATCTCCTCTTTCACCCTAAAACAAAATAGTATTTAATAACTTAGCCAAACGAAAATCCAAATGATAAATTCATTTTTTTGGACTTTAATAGTGTTGGTTTGTTTTTAGTTTGAAACTGAATCCCTTTAATACCACTTTTAACTTCAAAAATTGCTTTCACTGTAGTATTTGAGAAAAGAAAACAGTACTCACCTTTGCTCCCGGTAGACCTGGAATACCGACCAATCCGTTCGGACCTCGAAGTCCTGGTCTAGAAGAAAAAATGAAAAATATAGAAATATTTTACAGAATAATAGATATTTTTAATAATAATTTCTTTACTCTCTAATGTCAAGGAAAATAGATGTGAGAAACACATACCTTCCATCTTGTCCTGGAGGACCATCCAAACCAGGATAGCCTAATCAACACGAAAGCAAAGCTAAAGCACTTCTAATTTGTTTCCAGTACATTCCGTTACCTTTTACACCTGGTTCACCTGAAAAAAGATAAAGTAGTGGTTGCGGAGTTGAATGTTTTGCTCGAGAATATTTGAAAACTTACCAGGAATACCAGGCAAACCAAAACGTCCATCTTCACCCTAAAAAGATCAATTAAATCATTTTCGAAATAGTTTTAACAAATAGTGTATTTAAGTAATGTTCACGGAATAGTGAAATAGAATAATGGAAAGATACAAACCCTTAGACCGCGTGATGCGGCACCTCCCGATGGTCCAGGTAGGCCAGCAGGTCCATTAAAGCCTATAAAAAAAGACATGAAAAAATGTCATATAATACATTCGTTTTAACAGAGAATTAACAAAAGTCTTTTAAAATGATTTGATAATGGACATAAAACTTCACTTCAGTAATTTCAAGCTGTTGTTTGATTTTTTTATCTTGAATTTGGCTTTTACAAGATATTCGTTCACTATATCTTTCTAATGATCTGTTCTTCACTAATAACATATTTAAAATGGGATTCCTTCTCACATAGCTCACCATCTCAGACGAATTTGTATTATATTACTGAGAAAAAGGAATAAACGCGATACAAAATAAAATGTATATTTTCTTTGAATAGACAAGACGAATCAGTATTAAAAGTCTATACTACGACTGATAATTTTTGGAATAAAAATATATTCTACAAGATGCAAGTTAGATAGTAAGCGTTAACTTACCCGGAGTTCCTGGAAAGCTAAAATGATTGAGAAAAATTAAATGTAGATGTTCCTTTTAGATTAAAAATAAAGATCTATAAATAAAGACATGTGCTTACCCATCGTCACCCCGTTGGCCTTTTATTCCTTTCGCACCGACAAACGGTTCTGCGTACGGTGCAGGTTCTCCTGGTTCTCCTGAAATAGGTACAAATAAAGATGTTTAAAGACGTAAAAAATAACCGCTGAAAATTAAGTGATCTATCTCATATCGGTCCATTTTTTAAAAAAATCTTTACGTTCGTAACTGTAAAAGGAAGGAACTGTCAATGGAGTATAAGGGCTCACTCAAAAGGACTCACTTCAACTTCTTCTTTTCTTTCTTATTGAGAACTCATATGTTTGGCAAAATATCAACATTTCTTTGACTTACCTACTGGACCTGAACGTCCGTGTTTGCCTTGAGGTCCTTGTTCTCCTTCATCACCCCTGGCTCCTCGAGCAAGCGATTGTGCAGTAGGACCAGCAGGGCCCGACAAACCTATAACCGATAGAAAAGATATTTCACATTTTATAAGAACAGAAAAAAATAGAGAGTTCTTTATTTCAGTGTTTTTAAAGTAACGTAGTTCTTTAGCTTATTTTCGACTAGTACAATTTTTTCTGTAGATTTAATCATATTCTTATGATATTTTTATAGTTTAAATAAAAACTTGACTATATATTACATGCTGTAAAATTAATATGACAAATAAGTTTTTATGCGCAATAATTGACTCAGGTATTAATAGAGTGCATTACTGTAATTTTATTTTGCTCTATTTTAATCAGCATTAATAACACTCTATACATTTTTAAATAAGTAATGAGGTGAAAACATTAAATGAAACAAAATATAATAAAAATATCTTTTTACCTTTTGCTCC